TTTCCCCTTCTGTTTTTCTTTTCTTAGTTTCCGATCTAAATTTAGGTGAGAATATGATAAATAGAATTATTGCATTTATTTTACTTCTACCATTAGTCAAAGCCTTTTTTCTTCTCTTACCTTGTACTGCTTAATTACTTTGGGCTTAAAAATATTTGATTTTCTCAAGTTTTTATTAATCTCTTTTCTAAAAACTAGGCCTCTTCCATTATTATTCAGCTTGAAAGATATTTAGTTCCCAACTGCTCATGTTTGCTTTTTTTCCTAAAAGAGGTTGTAAGCCTCTTGAAAAGAAATATTATATGTCTTCATCTGGTGCTAATCTCTTTTCTCCACACCTGGACATACAGATTCTTCCTTGTCCTCTAGTCTTAGAAATACTAAGTATTTCAACATTTGGAAACCATAAACACGTCCTCAGTCCTCTTCTTTTTAATCTTCTCCTTTGGAAGTTATATTCGAGTCCATTTTTCAATTATGCTCTCTACAGGTAATTCCTAAACCTCTACCTAATTCCAAATTTCCTCTTAAGCTCTTGACCTATGTTTTTAGTTTTCTGCAGGGCACTTTACTTCAATGAACTCCCACCACCTCAAATGCAAGAATCTCCAAAACTAGTTTATTTTGTCTACCTAAAAGCAAACTTCTGTTGACTTCCATGTTCCTATCAGATATTGTAATAAGAAACATCCAGTTACACAAGCTAGCTCAAAACAGTTTTAATGTCAATCTTTGTGTAATCATTAAAATTAAAAACCTATTGTCAAGAGAAACAATAATATGTAGCATATATTACAGTAATATCTAGAAATCAGCAGATATATGGCACAAAGGAACAGACATTCTCATACGATCACAGATTTTGGAATTAGAATTAAAACTAAGAATTAGTGAATTACTAAATCCAACCTCCCTTGCATTACTAGACCTCCTTCATCTAGCAGTGAGATGTACTGCAAAGAGGAAGAGCCCTGGTGACAGTAAGACAGGAATTTAACTTCACATTTAACTGAGTCATAGTTACACGATGTGAAAATTTTAAAATAAATGAGTAGATGTACTACAGTGCCTAGCACAGAAATGGCACCAGAGTAGACATTTGAGAAACAGTGGAATCATTCCCTCCATATGAAAAAAACACTGCTTTCCAAGGTGGTAGGTGCCAGTGTGGAAAAGCCCTGTTAGAAGTCTAGACACTCAAAGCATGATGTCTGGTTGTAATTTGTTCACTGCAGAATAATCAGCTAATATTAAAATTCTAGTATCATTCATTTGGCAATCACCATGGTAATAACTGTTTCATACAAGAATCGCTAATGATACTAAAACTGGTAGATAGAAGTTTGACAGTTTGAAAAGAAACTGATTATTTATATTTATAAAGTCTCAAAGTATCTTCCCACTGGATACCTATTAATTATAAAAAGAAAAATGGCAACTGTACAGTGAAGCAATCTGAAAGACAGCCATCTTAACCAAGTGATCAGAATTAAAATCACCGGTAATGGGACAATTCAACATAATGTGTCTTCTGATATGAACTGAGAAGAACAAAACATCACTTCTATGGTGCTCCTGTTAACTCGAATCTACTCTTTGTATCAGATAACTCCAACTTAAGAAACATTCTACAAATGACCTGACAGTTTCAAAAACGTCAAGGTTTTGAAAGACAAAGAAAGACTGACAAAATGCTCAAGATTAAGAGACTAAAGAAACTTGGTACACAAATACAATGAGTGGTCCTGAATTGAACTAAAAAAAATTTTCTCTAATGACATCAGTGGGATAACTATAGAAATTTGAATAAGGTCTGTAGATTAGGTAATAGTACTGTATCAGTGTTAATCTAATTTTGACAATTTTACTGTTACATTTATGGGTAAAGAGGCATCATGTCTGCAACTTACTCATAAATGAGCCAGAAAAAATACTATAAATAAAGAGAATATAGTTATTAAAAAATAAAGAAAAAAATAACACAAATGTGGTAAATGTTAACATATAGGGAATCAGTAAAGGATATATGGGAATTCTTTGCATTATTTTTGCAATTTTTCTGTAAGTCTAAAATAATTTCATAATAGTTTAAAACATTATTATACCATGGTTATATCCAAACAAAATTAATTTCTTACAACCTTATTAGGTTAACAATTATAACCCCAATTTCTTGCAGGAAGACAAAGTAGTTAAGTAGTTATCAAAGAATAAATAAATGGTACAGCTGGGATTTGTCTAAATCCCAAGCCCACGTTTTTTCCACATCAACTCCTACCACACCAAGTTATGAAATACCTTCTTGGTATCCTACAACACTTCTGTGACTTTACTAAAACAAATAAACTTTTGATAGGGATTTTTCAATTTTCCTTTAAACTAAAATAAAATACCAAAAGCTTAAATTTTTTTTCTAAGTAGTTGTAAAACTGAAAAAAAGGTGTCAAATTTTGGCTTTAGAGATAAGGACTGCTGCTGTTTGCATGTCTTTTCCTTTTACTTGTCAAAATGATGTGCTATTTAAATATGAACATCAAACCATATTTTCACCTTATCAACCTTCAGCTAGCATCAAATACAGTCTCCTATAAGCAAATAATGAGGTGTTGCCATATCTAGATAAAATTAAAAAATTTTGTCTTAAAAAATCAATGGCAAAATGCTTTTCATATTAAAAAAAAAACTACCTTTAAGCTTCCCCAATTTGGGGACCATTAGAATCTAAAATCTTAACACAACAGCCATATCCAGAAAGATAGTCAATTAATTAGAACCTAAGAATTTTCAAATTTAAGTTAAAATTGTATTTAATAAAGGCCTCAATTATTCATTCAAATTTTTATGTGGAACAACCCTTTTTGAAAGTTTAGAAATATATATCAAGATCTTTAAAAATATCACATTTTTTAGTAATATCATCTCTATGAATCTGTCCTAAAGAAATAACTTCAAGTACAGAACCCAGTTTATAGGGGAGAAAAGTTCACTGCACTATTTCAATGGGGAAATGGTCAATTAAATTTTAGTGCATCTACATAATGGAGCTGTAAAAAATTATTCTTACAAAATTTTGAAAATGTGCAACAGAAAAAAATATCCTCCTCTGAAACCATAATTGCCTCCCAACATGTGCAGTTGATGCTTAACAGACAATTCTGTCATCTGCTGAGTTCTTTGAGGAATGGCTTTGTATAATGGAGATGTAATACATCAGAATAAACAAAAAGTTCAGTAAAAGGGTTATAGGCAGACATAAGAGTGGGAAGAAGAGAAGAGAGCATCAAGATCAGCAAGACTAGGACTAGGTGAAGCCACTAATTTTCCATAATGTTTGGGAAGCCAGAAAATGCGTTTTGGAGAGTTAGGATGTTTAATACAGAAATACAAATTATTTGTGTGGCTGTGATAACAATCCATTTCTACTTCCACAAAATGGTCAGTAAAAATCTGCTCTGCACATATAATTTTCCCCGCTAAGGAGTGAGAATAGGAAATGGTAAGGAGGATTTCAAGGAGATGCTGAGCTTTGTATCTGGAATGATTTGGAGAAGCACAAAGTAGCTAGACACACAGAAAGAGAAACTGAAGACATATAGGAGGCCTTTAAAACGTAAGAAATATGCAGAGTTATCAGAGGATATAACCGAGTTATTCTTATCTTTATTATTCTTATCTTTTTAAGTCTTATCTTTAATTTTCTGTAATGATATTTTAACTGGCAAAACAAGATAAAGTTTTAAAAATATATATGTGCAGAGATGGAAACAAAGGTAGTACCAAGCCATATCTTTTTCAGAAAAAGTAACAAAAAGGGATTACTTGGAACAAACATTCTTTCTTCATCTCCTTAATTAGCTGCTCTAAAGGGCTACTACACACCTGAAAGATACATCTAACTTGATAAACCAAAACACTTAAATTCTAACCATTATATCATGAGACATAAAAATTGCATAATCCACTTAATTTATATGCTACTTTTATCTGAAGCAATTTTTTGCCAGCATAAATTTAATACTTTCAACATTTCAGGGAAGCGACAATTATTCTTTCCATTTTGCATTTAAATACATAAAGAAAGAAAACTATATTCTTATGATTCTTCTGATTCAATCACGGATTTTGAAATTCTTCACGTAATATTCAGGGATCACTTGGATTATACTAAGTGCTACATTTAGCATATAAAGCTAAATTTAAAAGTGGGAAACCTCAATCCATGAGCATATAATTCACTAGGATATAAGGTGAGCTTCAAGAGAGCTAAAGGTCAAAGAAGAAAGAGGTCACTGACTGGAATAAGTAGGAAGGAGTCCATGTAGGAAGAGACATCTGAAATGAGCTCTGGAGAGGAAGACTGACAAATGGGAAAATAATATTTCTAAGCTATAAGAGATTCAGTTTTCATAATTTACAGTCATGAACTAATTCTACTCAATGAAAAATTAAAGATGGCAATAACACTGTGTTACATACCTCCAGTCCACATCTAAGTCTTCACTCACACTGGAATCATCCTCAAGGTTATTGTTACCATCCAGCATGAAAGCTTCTGGCTGTGCAAATTCATTGGCAGGCTCATTTCCCTCATCACTGCTGCTTTCATTGACTTCACTGTACTGTAACCAAGGAATTTCTCCCTCTTCCAAGGATGTCTGTTCCCTAACACAAACATTTTAAGAAAAAAATATTATTTTGAAACACATCATAAAATTGTTCTTTAGAGTTCTATTTAGTCCAAGTCTTCCTGTGAGTTCTAACCTCTTGGTACTTATATGATTTTTAAAATCTGTTTTAACTATAAAAATATTTAATAGGGAAGCAAATGTGTTATAAGGTCACATGTATGCATAAATAGCTCCTTACTACATAAGAACCTATTTATTTGATATATGAATGCTCTAATCTCCTATATTTCCTTTTTTTGCAGGAGAAAAATACAGAAAAATTCACCCTAGACAATTGGAATTTTTAAACACTGATCTTGAATAGTTTCCCTTCACAGTTAAATAAAATTCAAATTCCTCGACCTGGCTTACAAATCCCTACATAATACATGCATCCTCCTTGGCCCTCTTCTCCAACTATCTCTCACCACTCTTCCCCTCATTGACTATACTCCTACTATTATTTCTACTCTTGGAACACATGGAGATCATTTCTACTTTGGGGCCATTTCCTCTACCTAAAACGTCCTTTCACCAGATTTTTACACAGCTACTCCCTCCTTGATATTCAGATCAGAGTAAATACCACTTCTTCAGAAAGGCCTGCCTTGACCACTCATTTTAATTAAGTCTCTAGTCATTGGTTATCAAGTCACTCTGCTTATTTTCATTATAGAACTTACTTTTACTTATCATTTTATTTGTTTATTGTCAATCTCTCTCCTACCAGAAAATAAGCTCACAGGGACAGGAACAAACAAATCGATGGTCCAGATAAAATAAAGAAGAGATAAAAGCAGCATCTCAAAACAGTGGAGATAAAGGTTATTCAATAAGTGATACTGGAACAACTGGGTACCCACCTGAAGGAAGGGAAGTTATATTCTGTCATTATTTACCCTTAAATAAATTACAGATCTACTCTTTAAAAATGCATTTGTATCCTCCCCCAGCACTAAAATAATAAAAATACTAAAAGAATCACTAGAGAAATCTTTGCAAAAACATGTGTCATTCTAAGTATGATTCAAAACCTTAAAGCCATAGACTGATTGTTAAATTTAACAATATATGTATTGAAGAAGACTCTCATGGAAAAGTCAAAATACCAAAAATTTGGACACAAAGATCAAAGGGTGAAAAATTAATTATAATACATGAGAAAAAAAGGCATTTCAGGACTGCAGTGAACTGGAGAAAAGGTATGTTGTGAATTTATAAAGAAAAGTAGGTAGGTATGATTTTCTTATTTAATAGAAAATACCTTTTAGTATATCAAAAGAAGTTAAATTTTAGAGGCAAAGTTGAATTTTAGTTTGGGCTTTGAGAAATGTTATTTAACAATTTACATATTTTAACTTTATGAATAACTATAATTAAAATTCTATTCATTCTATTGCGCTAATTTAAAACTTTTGGGGTAAAAGCATTTATACAATGTCCACATATAAAAATCAACACATTTTAAATACATAGAAACAGTATCTCTTTACATACTTGAACTAATAAATGTTTCTTTAACTCCAGATCCTAAACTACACTTCGGAATAATAGGTTTATAAGATTTAGTATCTAGTATAGCCAGTCTAGTAAAATCAGAGAAATAAGCCTAACAAAATACGCTTATTGTGTTAAAGGTTTAATGTCAAATATATAAAGATAGTGAATGTTTTCCTTTTGTGCAAAATTAGGTCCAACGAAAATTTTAACCCAAAATGGATTTAAAATACAAAATCAAACTAAAAATTCTTAAGCAACAAATCTCTGTTCACACTTTGAAAGGACTTGCCACACTGTATTTTAACTCTTCTGAGGACTGGGAGCTTCTCAAAAGCATACAGTGTTGTCTCTCATCACTGTAGCTTCACCCTCTACAACAACTGGTTGGGACGTAGTAGGTACTCTATCACTGTATGTATTGCAAATGTAATAATAGATCCTTGAAAAACAATCTTTTAAAAAACAAATAACTTAGAGACTAAGCCTGGAATAGTCCTCGGAAATTTCTGTTATTTCTAATGTACTCCTACAAAAAACATATTCCTTTTTCCTATTATACAGACATCAAAATGACTTACTCTGTACTTCAGATACATTCTATAATACTCAAAAATATATTGGTGAAAATGATTCAGTATAAGAAATATTAATTTATAGGTCTTTTAAATTCAAAGAACAAAAAAACTAAATCATTTGAATCTAAATAATTTATAATGTCATTAATAGTCTTTCACTATATAAGGAATTCTTGGCTACATATTTTGCTTAAATATTTGAATGTGTTTAATGATTCATTATAACACAGTTAAAGAAATAGAAAGTGGTATATGGCATATTCTTTCAACATGTTATACAAAGTTCATATAACTTCCTATCGTTAACATGTTAGCAGGCTAGAAGAGTGGCAACCTACTGGACAAGAGCTGTCTTGAAAGTATAACAAAAAGAATTTTGCTAGTAAAAAAAAGATTCTGAACAATAAGGTCAAAGCATTTTTCACTCTGTGTAGCTAACAACAGAAACAAATACCTCCACGGGACTGTAAGCATATAATGTAAATTTAAATGTTTCAAATACCTTGAAAATATTCAGAGCAGTATCTCGGTCTTCTTTCTCTCTTCCTATACGTACGTACACACACACACACACACACACACACACACACACACACACACTCTCTCTCTCTCTCTCTCTCTCTCTCTCTCTCTCTCTCTATGTACACACATATGTAACATTCACAAAAAATTTAGACCTTTAATGCCCTGTCTTCATTTTAACAATTCAAAAATCACCAAAATGCTATTACAATGTTATGTAGTAATATATGAAACTTAAGACACATTATCGAATCATGCATGTCTCTAAATGGTCAATTCTAAAAAAGCAATTCACTAGATGGAAGATTGGAAGCCTGTGCATACACCACCACCACCAAAGTCACAGGTATTTCACCTAGGAAGGGAAATTGCCAACTTGTCCTTTCATTTTTGCATTTTTCAGTACAGCTGAGAGAAAATGAATGCTGCTACCATGACAGGAAGCTGAAAATGCCCCATCATGTATCCCCACATCCTAATCACAGTGAAAACCCTAGAACACCATCAGCACCATCTATTCTCTTGACTACAAGCTACAGTTACCTCAAAGCTTCAGACAGACTGCTGCTCCTTCCCAGAAAAAGGATTAAAGCTCCCTATCCCTCACAAAGTTTTTGTTATAAAATTAATAACAAAAAATTAATTTTATAACATTCTATGAATAGAAATATTAAAAGTATCAAAATATATTAATAAACTAATACTCAATATTTTAAAGAAATTTTTATTACGAAGTTTTAAAATATGCTATCATATAATCATGCATCACTGCATTTTCTAAGAAATGAAAATGAAAGGCAGACAAATCAAATTAAACTCCTGAAAATACTAACTACTATGATTTTACAAATCCATATGTCTTCCCGTAGCTAATGAATTATCAATTTGAATATCCATTATTTGTAGCACAGAATTTAAAATCTTTGGGTTAATACCAACCTTTTAAATAGTTAAGGCTTTCATAAAATAATTTAGCTATGAGAAATTCATTTATAAAATCCTGAAGATCATAATGAACATTCCTAATTAACTGGTATTTAACTAACTGGTTTGCATTTTATGACAAGAAACATATTAAGTTGTTGCCAAGCTTTAGGTATAAACTCACTTTTAATAATTCTAATTGTATAGCAAATTTTTATGTCAAATCCCTATCTTGGATGGGTGGGTAAAAAATGACACTTCCTTGTGATCTTCATGTACATTTCCCTGATTCCTAATGATCTAAGCATCTTTTCATATTTTTTTTTCACCATTAATATCTCCTCTTCAGTGAACTAGCTGCTCAACATTTTGATCATTTTGGAGTTAGACTCTCATTTTTTTTTTTTACTGATTTCAAGGAGTTCTTTATACATTCTACGTATTAAGACTTTATATTCTACAAATATATTCTGTAAGTTTTTTTCTTTCCTTTTCAGTTCCTCTTTTCTTTTATAATTCTATTTAAGATTTTGACATGAATTTTCATGAAAAAATACTTATAATTTTCTTCACATACTCTTGGTACTAGGATTCTACTGGTCTTATTAGAATGACTTGGAGAAATAGTTATTTTTCTATTCTCTCAAAAAGTAGAGTGACATGATCCTTATAAGTTTAAGAGAATTCAGCTCTAAAACCATCTGTATCAGTTTTCTCCATGGGAAGATTTTAACCTATTTCCCATTTAGAAAAAAAAAGTGCAGCTCACTGCCAATGTTAATTTAACATCACGCGTAGGAGTGCTACGTTTTCTAGGATTTGACATTTTCAGCGATTGAGCATTACCATATTTTGTAAATGGAAGTACCACTACTAAAAGCAGAATGCGATGAACAGAATGATGTAATTTGTTTCCAAAGACTATCAATATACTAGAGCGATGCAAAAATAATAATAAAAGCCAGACATTTCATGACAAACTTTAGGGGTAGGGTTAGGACTGTAATCTGCGAGTTATTTCAAGGTAAATGGGAAATGGGTTAAACCACTGATTACATATCTGTGGTATAACAGTACTCAGTCTTTCTATTTCTTCCTGAGTGTGTTTTGGTAAATTCCATTCTTCTAGAAATTCGTTGATTTCTTCTAAGTTTTCAAATTTAAAAAGTTTACAGTACTTTTTAGTCTATCCAATCTTTGCTGTGTAGCTATATCCGCTTTTGTATTTCAGTATTGTTTATTTGTGCCTTGTCTTTACTTCCTTGTTCACTGCCCAAATAGATTGCCTATTTTTTAAAGTTTCAAATTCTGATTTCTTTAATCCTCTCTACTGTAGCTGTCTTCTACTTCCTTGATTTTTGCTTTTATCTTTCCTATTCTCATTCTTACCTCCTTTTTTGTTTATGCTAATATTTCTTTGCTATTTTAAGTTAAACGCACAGCCCCTTTTTCAGCTTTTCTTCTTTTCTAACACAAGCATTTTTAAAAGATAAATTTCCCTTTAAATATCAATTTCATTGCTTCCCATAAATTATCATTGACTTGTGAACATTTAAACTTCTATTATGATTTCTTCGTTGTTTTGGTTACTCAGAAGAATGGATAATTTAAAACGCATAGGGTTTTTACAAGTTTATATTTTATTTATTTCTAAGTTAATAGCATTATGGTAAGAAAATATAGTCTGCAGGATATTGGTTCTTTGAATCATGTTAATTTGTGATTTGTAGCCTAGTACATGTTCAGTTTTTACGTGTTTGTGTAGTCCATAGGATGCGGTGTTCATTAAACCATGCTTAAATGAATTGTTCAAATCTAAAGATAGACGAATTTTTTATTTCCATAAATCATCAGTAATTGAGAAAGGTATTTAAAAATTTCCCAATATGATAGTAAATTTGTTAATATTCTCTAGTTTGGTCGAATTTTGATTTATATATTGAGTCTATTTTATTAAGTGCATTAAAGTTAAAAACTGCTACATTTTACTGGTAATTTAAACTTATCATTATATAGTGACCCTCATTCTCCCCAATAATACTTTTTTAAGTTTTCTTTGCTAATGTTAATATAACTACTCAATTTTTTAAAAAGTTAGTATTTGCCTGAAATATTTTCTATCCTTTTACTTTCAATCTTTCTGTATACTTACGCTTTAAGTATGTCTTCTGTAAACAACATTTAACTTTAAAAAGAAATCCATCTGATTAGAAGCTTTATCTTTTACAAGGAAAAATTAAGCAATTTATATTTATTGCAGGACTTGTTCCTACATCCTACATTTTTCATCTGTATTTTTCTTTTTTAATGCATTTTTATTCCTGTCTTTACTTTTATTTGGATTGACTTTAAATGTTCTTCTTCCACTATTAATTCCTTTTTTCCTTCTCTACAGGTTTCTAGCACATATACTCTATATTTATTTATTATACTGGTTATTCTTGAAATTTTACCACACAAATCTAACTTATGTCAAAAGATAACTTTCTGTTAGAATAGCTGTATTCAACAGGACAAGTAATAACAAATGTTAAAGAGAATGTGGAGAAATAGGAACCCTCATACACTGCTGGTAGGACTGAAAATTAGTACAGCCACTATGGAAAATAGTATGGAGGTTCCTCAAAAAACTAAGAATTGATCCACCATATGACCCAGCAATCACTCTACTGGGTATTTAACCCAAAGACTTGAAAACCCACATCTGAAAAGATATTTGCACACCGATGTTCATAGCAGCATTATTCACAGTGGTCAGGACAGGGAAACAACCAAACTGTCCTATGATAGATAATTGGATAAAGAAGCTGTGGTACACACATACAATGGAATATTACTCAGCCATAAGAAGAGATGAAATACTGCCATCTGCAACAACCTGGATGGACCTTGAGATAATCACGCTAAGTGAAATAAGCCAGACAAAAAAAGTTGAAAACCACATGCTATCACTTATATGTGGGATAAAAACCTAAAAGCAACAAATGAACAGGACAAACGAACAGAGACTCATGGACAAGGACAATAGACTAGTGGTTACCAAAGGGTACAGGGGAGGGGGAAGGGGCAAAAAACAAACAAACAAACAAACTTAACTTTCAATCCTCTCCAAAACAATACACTTCAACTCTGATCTTCCTCATCAACTTAAATACTATTGCTGTCCAGCGTTTTAGTTCTGTCCACCTCACTTCCTACCTTTATTTTTTAACTAAATCACTGTTTTATTATTGTAGGATATCAACGCTGATGACTTCCAAATCTCTATATTTAACTATAATCTGGGAGATTTCCCTTAAATTTGTAAATTAAATATCCAAGTGCCTACTTACCATCTGCATGTCTATCTAACTGGCACATAAAACTTCCAAAAGGAGTTCCTACTCCCCAGTTCTCTCTCCAGACTTCCTCATCTCTGTCAATGACATTAGCATATAACTAATGCTCAAACCAAAAAACTCAATTATAACTGATTGATTCCTCATTCTCCCTCATTTTACTCCCAGTCCATTCTATTATTTACAACTTGAAAATATTCTCAAACACATTTACTTTTCTTAATCCTCACTATCATCCCCTCATCCAACAGCCTAACTCATCCCCTGTCCCCTTTTTAACTAGTCCCAATTCAACTACCACAAAACAGCTAGTGATTTTTTTAAATGTGTGTCAGATCAATTACTTCTCCACTTAAAATCTCACTGATCTCTGACTAAATTCCAGATGCTATATGTCCTGTATAATCTGGTTCCTGCCCACATCATCCCATACAACTCTTCACTCATTCACTTAAGCCCCGCTACCTTCACACATGCCAAACCATTTCCTTTTCAAAACCTTTGCTCTTACCTTTCTTTTTGCCTAGAAAGCTCTTCCTTAAAACTGCTAATTCCCTTTTAGATTCCAACTCAAAAGTCAATTCCTCAGAGAAGTCCTCCCTGACCATTCTAATTAATGTAGGCCCCTATCAGTTACTTCTTGTCACATTAGTGTTTTATTTCCTTCACAATTATCATCACAGTTTGTCACTTATCATGCTTGTATCTTGTTTATTATGTGCCTCTCCCACTACAATGTGAGCTTCAAAAGGGAATCTTATTTGTGTTGTTCACTGATATAATCCCAGGATCCAGCACAATGCTTGGCACATATTAAATGCTCCATAAATATCTGTTAAATAAATAAATACTATCACAAATTACATATAAAACAATAATACTCAGGAAACTAAATAATAGTGACTAAAGAAGATTGAACTTAAAAATCAGGAAAAGCAAAAAACTCCACCCCAACCTACCACTGTTTAAACCAATTATGTCTGCAAATTTCTTTCTTTACAGATTTTCTAATATATATTACTCCCAGGTTAATTTCATTTATGTTTTGTATATTAATATCTATATTTGTAAGAAATTTTAACTTATGTGTTATCTCTATCTCATTTTATTTATAATTGGCATACTGTAAAAAATTATCATCGAAAATGTGAACTGACAAAACAAAGTAGAACTTCGTTATTCAAATTAAAAATTATTTTATAAAAAAAATTTTCTGTCAACTGGAGGCACATAGCATTTTTACTGTGAGATTTTAGTGCATCCTAAATATAGTTCAATTTATTTTAAAATAAAAATTTTTCATTAACATCATATCTTGTAACTTAATTATGTTAATTTTTAAATTAACTAAAGCAACATTAAAAGCACTAAATAAAGCTAAAATAATAATAAAAAAGGAATACTCTCAAAATAAAAGCTGGAAATTTATACCTTTTGAGAAACTAGAATTTTAACGTTAATACAAGCTGCCAGATTTTTTCTAAGAAAAGATATTCACCAAAATACATTCCATGAGACTAAAAATAGAATGAATCAATTATCAGAGAAAAATATTAAAATTATCAGAGATACTCCATCACAATAAAATACCAAGCCTAGAAGGGTTCACAAGAAAATACTAACAACCTTTAAAGGAATAAATAAGCTATTTAAAGAATTTTTAAAGAGTAAATAAGTTTTTTAAACGCCAAAAGATTTAAAAAGAAAAAAAATAGGATACACATTCTTTTAGCAAGTATCAAACTGCTATTGAGACAAAAAAACTAGATAATTTGCACTGTGTCTCAATATAAAAATCCTATGTAAAATATTAGCAAATGGAATTCAGTAGCTCGCTAAAACAAAAATAAACCATGACTATGAGATCATGTTGGGTTTATTTCAAGAAGCAAGGGCAGTTAAATAAATATTAGTAAATCTAGTAACAAAATTATTCCTCATGATTATCAGGTCAAAAGTGAAAAATCATTTATGATCATTTCCACTGATGCTAAAAAGACTTTAACAATCTTTCTAGAATTCTACAAAATAATAATAGAAGAATATTTCCTTAGTATGTTTAAAAAATATGTGTGTATTTATGTATATCAACCTAAAAGCCAGAATCATTCTTCCTGGTAAAATACTAGAGCAAGGGTTGGTACACTATGGCCTACAGGTTATTTCTAGCCCGTCACCTGTTTTTATAAATAAAATTTTGTTTGAAGAGTTACACCCATTCGTTAACATATTAGCTATGGCTACTTTCACACTATAATGGTAGAGTTGAGTAGCTGCAATAGAAACTAGCAACCAGGAGGAAAATATTTACTATCTGGCCCTTCACAGTATAAAAGTTTGACAACCCCTATACTACAGCATTTCCACTAATGTTAGAAAAAGACAAAGATGTTTACTATCAATCACTGATTTCTGGAGATCTCATCTAATGCAATTAGACATCCAACTAACATTCAATTTTTGCAACTGCCTCCATTTCTGTGAATATTATCACTAATTTCTCTCTCAGGATGTCTCTTGCCATTATCTCCACTCTATAGCAATGGCAGTTCTAATTCACTCATACCTAACTTGAATAAAGTGATCTTTTAAATGACCAAGTTTTCTTTAATAAAGCCAAGTGAAACACAGTGTACCTCAGTAAGAGATAATGAAATTACTAGTCTTTTCAATTTGTTTTTTGTAAAATACCAAAAGTATAATGAAAAAAATCAGTAGGACTTACTTGTCCTACGTAGTAGTTATAAATGCAATTAATAGCATAGCCAACATTTGAATGTGATGTATAGTATTCTTGTAGAATACATAAAAAATAATAAATCTCACTGTTAAACATACCCTTCCTGAAGAGATAATTCTTGGTTTTCTTCAGGACCACTGCTATCACTCTGTAGTTCAGGTTCATTCTCATCTTTTCCTGGTAGAGTCTCCCAGCTTTCATCACTCGAGGACTGATCTTTTTCTGTACCAGAAAATCGATGAGGCAAAGAAGCAGACCATTCTCCATCACTGCATTCTGAACTGCAAATTTAAAACAAATAAATGAACCATCATTACATGTGCATTTATCAAATGGAGTATTAACCAGGCAACATGGTATAGAGTGGACTACTGGTGTCTCACATGTGTCATCGGGTGTTAATTCAATTTTTTAAGTATTTAAAAAAAACCACACAAATATACCCAGTAGATGTAACTTTTTCAAATGTAAATATAGCATATGGCAAATAATGAAATTATCAATTTATTATTTTTTCATTAAAGTAAATAATTCCATAGTGCTTAGATATAGGTTCTTCATATTTTAGACATATTTCTGAATACAGTTTTAAATATAACATGGTAATTATAAATTAAATGCTATCTGAAGTAAATAATAATAGATTTATTACACATTCTAATTACATATAGGCAACTGATGAAATATCTTCTATGAATAAATTTCCACCATTACCATGTTTTAAAACCTTAACTATTTCCTTCTTCTTTTTTCACAAAGGACTTTAAAATGGAGAGAGATTCAAATTCATAAAAAGCAGCACTGACAAATCTTTAGTGACGTCCTTTGGTAGGACTGTGAACACAAAATAAATTTCAATTCGAGACTATTTTGATAAGAAACCAACAGATACAATAAAAGGGTTAATAAAGAACCCCAGCAAATTACTTTTGGCTATATTTAACTTTGATTAATTTGGTCACTTTTAACTGCTCTTAAAGCACATCTTATATTGCTGAACATAAAAATATTACTGATCGATGTTGAAAATAAATCTTAAATGATCCTTCCAACTTTATCAACCATTCTGATCAAGAATCCTCTAAAGATTTCCCTTTGTGCGTTGACTTTCGAGAAACCAAAAAATAAATTTTAGTTTATGTTTTTGAAAGGAAGTGGTAATTGTTTAAGAAATTTTCTCTATGATGATGTATTATTAATATCTAAATTAGTCAGTGAGTTCCTCTTTCTATAGGTAGATGAACCCAAGAGATCAAGATGCTATTAAGAAAGAACAGCACTAATCCGATCTCTGAGATGTTAAAAGTAAAAAAAAAATAACATAAAATCAGCATCCAATTTTCAGTAAATGATGGGAAACAGAGCACAAACATCCTGGAGAAGAAATGCAGTATAGCCCTGGCATAGCAAATAAAAGGTGTTCTTTCTGATGGGTATAAGCTCAAGTTGCTTATATTCTGAGACCTAAAGAATAATCTAAGATCAAGTAAATCACTCCTAGGCATATATCAGTGTCAAAATGTAACTTAGAAAACATTTTGAGAAGAGCTTATTGAGCTATGTTTCCTTGACTATGAAGCTTCTCAAATTCAAAGCTGAATTACTAACTCCAATTATGATATTTCTTTAACAATTAGGGTAAGGTTTCTATAGTAATTTGTGGCAATTTTTAACGTACTTACTAAAGATAATCTCATTTTTAAAATATTTTACTCAGAATATTTTCCTGTTCAGAAAAGCAACACATGAAACTTCTAAACTTTTCTGGATTAATGAAATAATTAATGAACTATCTCTAAATTTTAATATAAAAAGAATGTCTATCATCAATAGTCAATATATTTAAGAAGCATATGTCAAGAACTGGCAAACTGCAGCCCTTTGGCCAAATCTCTGGCCCTGCTGTTTTTCTTGTTTTTTGTTTTTTCCTAATGATCTGTGAGCTAAAAATGGTATTTTACATGTTTATCTTTGATTTTGCCTCTTGGTCAGAAAAACCTAAAATATTTACTGTCTAGTCCTTTAAGAAAAGGTTTGCAAACCCCTGTCCTATATCATTATTACTCATTATACATAACCCTCACCTCTAAGTAGGTAATTTTCAAGTATCCAACATAGGGCAATGGAAGAGAAGCAGGAAAGGGTGAGCAAACAGCTCAATAGTAGCAATGAAGTCAAAGAAAACAGGTACTGTGAGAAGTCAATTGGCTGTGGAAATTAGGAGGTCACTGTTAACATTAGAGAATAGAGAAATAATACTGAGAATTAGATTTGGAGGCATTTAAAGAGTGGAGAGTGAAAGACTAGAAGCATGGTGTGAAACACTTATTCTGAAAATTCAGCAGTGAAAGAGAAAACAAACAGGCAATTGGTTAATAGAGGGAGCAAAATCATGTGAAGGTTTCCCAAGATTTAGAAAAATTAGAGAATGAAAGGCAGAAGGAAGCAACCTAGGAATAAGGATAATAGATAAAGTAAGGTGTCAGATATGACTATAGGCACAGAATGAGAAGAGTTACTTACCTCTCTTCACTGAAGAAATTAAAAATAGGAATAGATACTGAAATATTCTAACATGGAGAAGAGAAAAACAAAAAAGTTCATGTTTAACCATTTCAGTATCTCCAGGATAGTAAGAGATAAAATTATCTACTCAGAGTGACGAGAGTCTATGAAACTAAAAGCAAAATGAGAAAGGATTTAAAAATAACTTTTTTAAAGCACCAGAACAGGACACAAAATAATTATGCAATAAAAGATCCACTTGTTCTTGATTATAAAAGCACACGAGTTAAACATTTTAAATTTCTCAAAGTAAAAACTAAATTAAGTACCATTTTGATTTTCTATAGTCTATCATTAATCTTGTCTCCCATTAGCGTTTAGAGCTATATTCAAAAGCAACAACTATAACTTTATTGAATGTTACTCCTTACACATTCAATTATGAATCAAAAAAACTTTTTTCACATATAGAATTAAATTATATGTGATTTCTAAACAAATAATTTTTGTATGAATCCTAAGTAGATATAACGTCTATAAGTAAAACCAGCCTAAAGCAATCTCTTCTTCACTAAATCTCTCAAGGAACTGGTTTGTCTTCCCTGACATTTATCGCATCCATAAATATTCAATATATAGGAGCTTAGGGAAAAGTGAAATTTTAGATAAATTTGTTACCTGACCAGCTGAGGATCAAAAACACTTTGAGTTTTAATAAAAATATACTCTGAATGGAAAAGTGTTAAAACATATAATTCCCTAGATTTTCAAAGGTAGTGTACTGAATGTAATCTAAGCAGTCTGGGACATTTTACCACTATTAACACTGAACTTTGTTGTAATACAGTAATACAAATGGAAGCTGTTCAAATCTATAAGGCTGCTTAATCTAGTAAATAAGGCCCAGATGGTTATTTTTAAATTGTGCCTACCTTTTACAACTTTCTGGTTCTTTCCTTTAATATTCAGAATACTGTAATCTGTAACTCCCTAGCACGGATTTAAAAACCAAGAGCCAAGAAAACTACCCTAGCACGGAGTCCTCATGCATGCTAGGGAGTTACAGATTACAATACACAGATAAATAAAAGCTATTTATCTGTAATTTGCTCCTAAACTTCTATGAACTTGGAAACAAGATTAAAAGGTTTGCTAAAATGTTAGAGCACATGCTTTAAAATCTTTGTTTCAGCTGCTCATAGATGTTTTATTTGCTAGGCTACAGGATGATCAGAGGAGCTTTCTTCATGACTCTCGGCTAACTTATATAAAAAAAGAAAAGGAGCTTAATTTAGCCTCATGGTAATTATCTGTACATTTTGTCTTTCTCATAAGGCTAGTGAACACCAAAGAACAAGGATCATTATTATTTACATTTACAGAGTAACTGAGAACAAAGTCTGACACTCAAGAGGATTTCAATAAATGAATATATCAAACTGAAACAATCTAAATGGCTAATGTTCCTTTTACTCTACCAACATCATCAACAACAATAAAAAAGCAATCCTGACCTTTTTATTCTAGGTAAGGTTTTTTACCTTTTAAGCAAGGTTAAGGCCTCAGGACAGAAACAGTGTGCAAGAAACGTCAAGTTCTATAAGAAATGGTCAGGAGATGGTATGCCTCTCTTTAGAACAGTTAGGCCCAAGGTTAAAATGTGCTGGCATGGCTTAAAGTTTGCTTTAAACTCAAGATCTTGTCCTCAGACAGTTATTAAAGTTCTCAGGGTATATTTCAAAAGAGCTGGGTGTTAACCTTAGCTCTTTGGTCTAATTCCAAGTCTGGTAATTATATGTTGCCTATTAAAATTTCCCTTGCAGTTCTAATTTAATAAGGTGGAGTTCAGTTCCTGTCAAACAGCTCAGAGCAATGCTACCAGCTGTAATGCTTATCCCATGACTGTAATGTTTCAGATGTGATTAAGTGATCATTTAGAATTTTTCAGGGAAGAAATGGGTCACTCATTCATTAAAATACTTTTCCACTTATAAAGAATTATAAATTATATATTTTTTAAGTGGCCAAATGTCTTATATCTACAAATGTCACAGTAAATTTTAGTTATGTTCTTGGTAAGGGAGTTCCATTTGTAGCTATAACAGAACACAACAAGAAAACTTTTCAGGTATATAATTTTTAAGTTTCACAAAGCAGTAAAAACTCAAAAAAATCTCAAAGACTCAAAATAGAAGGTATTTTTACTTTTCTTCTCAAAGTATTTAAGGTAAAGTCACTGTGTTTCCCCATTTCTCTAACCTGTTAATACGGGAACTGAACAGGACCACAGCAAAACATCAGGTAGTGAATGAGTGGCAAAATGAAACTACACAGAAGTGTACAGTTGTTAAATTTCAACCTTTATCTGGTACCATATTAAAAGGCATCTGGCAACTGTGATGCTTTGCAGAGAGTAAGGGTAGAGGAACTGAAAACAGTAATGCAGAAATAGAATTACTCCTCAAAATTGTAGACTACTGAAATGAGGTCCTAAAACATATCTTAAGGCTTAAAGACGAAAATATAAGTGGAATCTTAGGTAGAATCATTACCTTTGAGAACTTACTTTGTGAAGAGTCTTAAAAAAAAAAACAAAAAAATCCTAAGTGTTTCTAGCATTTCAATGTGTTTTAAAGAATGCTCCAAAATTAGTTTCATCATTTCAGCACACCCCAACTACAGGTTCTGTAAGTCAATACATTACTAAAACGTGTAAAGACAAAAAGTTTCTATTAACTATAAGTATTTTTATCACCTGTATATTCCGTTTGTAAAAAATCATTGTTCATAATACTGACATATCACTTAAGGAAAAACACATTATAAATATACTAAGATAACTCCCTATAACCATTAAAAGTCCAGAGTCATTCTAAGGAAAAAAAGACACTTCTATTGAAAAACAGAATCAATTTAAAAACCAAGAGGCAAGAAAACTACCCTTTCTCTTGAGGTTGGCAAACGGTGTAAAGATTTCATCAACTTCATTAGATGATATTAGGCCTGACTATAAAAAGCAAATAAAAGAGGTTTTTATTTTCAATTAGTGCGTCTATAGTGGAGATGGCACAGCCAAATTAAATGACTTTCTTCAAAAAAGCAAAAATGTAATTGGGGGAGAAAATGCAACAACCTATACTTATACTTTCAAAAGATAAGTTATCTTACACTATATTTTTTTAAATAGTAACCTAGAGGCAGAATAGAGTTCATGATCCAATCCAAAAATCCTAGGATTGAAAACATTCTGAAATTAAAAATTCCCCCCCCCCCGAGATTTAGAATGACTACCTAATAATTCCCAGTGGGATCCAAGCCAGAACCCAGTAATCAAATACTCATATTACTGCTGCGAAATATATCACTGCTCAGAAAAAAGGCCTCATTTTAGTTCAGATCAAGATCTGCCATGAAATAAATTAACATTAGGTCAGGTTTTATTGCCATTTTCCATTTTTAGAACTTTGTGGATTTTGGATAAAAGTGAGACTGTGAACCTAAACTGAAAAAATAGAAACAAGTCAGGCAAAAGTTTTTAACTACCTTTATCCTTTACTTAAAAAACAGTAGGTTACATATTGTCTACTAGCCTTTAAAGTTTATACACTTCCCAGATAGCAGTAGAAATTATATTTCGATTGTTTCTACAAGTTACATATACTATATTATAGAAGCTTAATTCATCTGTCCAAAAAAACCTCGTTTTATTAATTTTATATGAAATAAAATACATAAAATGCATTTATATTCTAAAGGATTAATTTACTCCTTTGCAGCACTTTCTAGTTTAAACAAATAACAATTATTTCCACAAGTTAATAAAATCTTGAAATTGCACTGTAATTGAGCATAGTTGGGATTACAACTAGGTTAAAAAGATAACCTGAACATTTGGACTCTGGGGCAATGAAAAGTCGGCACTGTAGTCAAAGAAATTTCCATTTCTCTCTTCTTACAGTTTGAGGGGGAAAAAAATCTATTTTTTAAAGAGGAATCAAAATGCTTATTATAGGAAAAGTTATGTGTTCTCTTGAAAACAGTAAATGTAGTGGTGAAGAACACAGAATCTGGAGCCAGGCAATAAGTAGGTATTCAAATTCCAGCATCACCATTTATTGGCTTTGTAACTCTGTTGTGCCTTAGTTTCCTCATCCGCAAATGTTAATAAAAATTAAATGCTACATAAACGTAAGTAAAAAATAAATTTAGCAATAGGAAAAGCCAACAGGAAGAATAAAGAAATAGGTGATATTAATAAATATTGGCAAAGTTAATACAATATTATCAATCAAAATTTTCTATGACTTTAATTACTTTTTAAACCCAGATTGGCTTAACATAGAATTTTTTTTAAATACCATAACTGTTTACTTTGTATTTTATTAACTGAAATAAAAGTGATTAAGAATTAAAGTGATTATGATCTCTAACATTTTATAACAACTAACAATCATTATTTGAAATTATAATTTCAATAAACTCCTGAAACATCTGAAAGTTTCTGTGAAAAACTAACTAACAGTTTGCATGTATGGTTAGCACATGGTAAATAAGAATATTGGATAAATATCTAATTCCCTGATGAAGTCAGAGAGCCCTATCCATCAAACATCATGTTACTAGAGATAAACCACTTTGCTCACTATACAATCTGGCAAAGCACTGAGTGAAACCTTACCTATCTTCATCTTTGTCATATAGTTGGTAATAATCTCCACAGCCATTCCAAAAGGTGTTATCCACAACTTCTTGCCTTCCTGCTGTGGCTCCACTTTCTGACGTTATTTGGTTATTTTCTGTTTCCCTCTGTGTAACTCTTGAGTAGGGTGGATCCAAGAACATACAGTCATGTTCTCCAGCATAGTCATCACATTTTATTAAAAGGTCATCTGAGCCATTTTCCTCAACTTCCAAGGCCTCCCTCCACCTCTGAACACTTCTTTGTCTAGCTTCATGCCTATTAAAACCTGTTTCTTGGTCCACCTGGCTTGAACTTATCAGTTTTTTAACTTTGGGTCTCACTACCTGTTCAGGAGAACTTCCCTGGTTGGCCCTATCCCTGGTATTTTGTTCACTGCACATATGCCCCAGAGCACAGGCTGAATCTTCAGTTGAATTTTCTGTCTGTTTCTCCTGGCTAATATTATTTTGTTCTTTCTTTCTAACGACTTCATTTTCAGAAGAGGACATCTGATTGACAAACTCAGTATCACCTTGAGAACTTTTCACTAAAGGCGCTGAATCTAACTCTTCAAACTCATCTCTTATTTCACAGTTAAAAGAGGAAACTGGCGGTGAAAGACTAGTATATGCCTCTACTTCATTTCCTAACTCAAATATTGTATTGCCCAGTGCTTCCTGATATCTACCAGCTTCCACAACTTCTGTAGAAAGCTGAAGACGGTCATTATCCTCTCCACGTCTGCTATCTGAATCATAAGAGTCAGTATGAACCAATGCAATTCCATTTTGGACACTTGAAGCATTATAAGCTCCTGGAGTATATTCTCCCTCAGAGTGATTATGAAGATTCCTACTGCTTCCTAAGGTGTCCCTGCCTTCCTCACAATGATGTACTGCAGCAAAGGATGGACTGCTCTCGATAGTTTGATTCAATGTTGTATCACAAATGGAAATTTCTGTTTCACTTTTTTCAAATAAAGGATCGTTGGGTAAAGAAGACTGAACTTGATCCAATGGACTGGAACCTTCGTAGAGAACAAAAGAAAACATATTTGGAGGGATTAATTTAGATAAAATTTGATTTAATAATGGCTACTTAAGTAGAAATCATTCCAATAATTTCTTACTTGAGAATATAAATGAATTTCTGACAGGTGCTTCTATATTCCCTAAGTTAACTGAGAGGGCAGAATGGTTACCCTATGAGTTCCATTTATGCTATTGTATAGCATCTCAATATCATCTCTCTCAGATGTCTTTTGGAGGTTTTTGATCTAAATTCTAATACCTAAAACATTCTGTAAAAGACATTAAAAATGAGAGGCTAATGAGAGACTATACAATAAGAGGCATAAGTGAAGGCATAAGGTAACCAACCTGCCCTCCCAGCTGTTGGGATGTGCAATTCAAACTTGACTTATTTGATTACATGCAGGTGAAAAAGACTGCAAAAGTACTTATAATAGGTATAAGAACAGGTTACATATCTAACAGAAATAAGACTTTATTGTGTCTGATGTCAATTGAGAAGATTATATTTCAGTGTCTATATTTATAATAGATTTGTACCCCCAAAATCAATTGTTGTAATACATCTATAATAATGAGTTAATTTTAAGTATGTTATAAGCTACAAATAAAAACATCAAAATGTTGATTCTTTGCCACAGTTTATCAGAATCTCAAGGCAAGAGTAAATTCTTATCTAGTCTATAAATTACTTTAGCATGACTTATTACTGCTAATGTAATAATAAAAATGAAGACATCTGAGATTTGTTGGAATTAAAATTTATAAATTATAAATAACAAAAACAATCTTGCCATATCATAAAAAGGCTTCTTTAACAGAATGTCCTTAGCTAATAATTCAGATTCTTGTACATCAATGACAGTAAAAATCATCTAGAATTATCCAGTTTCCTCAGGACAAGAGGGAAATCATATTGATTCAAAATATATCATTATAATACATGGATATCTGCAAAATACCTTTTCAAACCACTGAATAATTAAAAATTTTTAAATGAATAACTAAGCATTACTTGACAGTTGTATTTAATGATTTTAAAATATTAAATTAGACAAGCTAAATTATTGAGCGGTACAATTAAAACAAAAAAGCTATTTAAAATTAATATTCAGAGCAAAATATATTCAGTTTACATGAAAAAATAATTTTTTTGATTGAAAGATTAAGATTTCCTCTGGCTGAAGGGATGTGACAATGTAATCAATGACATGCTAATGTAGTTATATTTTAATGATTAGCTGTATTCTATTTTCGTCTATGCTTAAATATATATACTATTAATATTAAATTCAATAAAAAATTCAAAATAGAATTGCTTGATAGAAAATGAAAAGCATTTATACGCATAGACACACATAAAACCCAACTCACAATTTCAAATATTACAAGATCAATTTCTATGTTTACTAATAGCTCTTAAATAATTCCATGTTGCATACCTGAGGAATTTTCCTTTGGAACATCATCTAGTTCCAACACTTCATAGTCATCACCAGCTCGACCTAAGCTTCTTTCATGCCTGGTCATACACGGTTTAAAACTGACATATGCATGTCTTCTTCCATATCTCCTGCCCGTGATTGTCTGATATCCTCCTGCTGGTTTGGGCCAGGCAGCTTTGCTGGATTCTTGATCCATTGCTGAAAAACAGAATTAAAAATAAAAGAGGTACAGTAATGACCTTTATTCTGGCAACTAGTGGGAGTAGTCTTTCAATATATATGCTAGAATTTGCCAAGTCATATACTAAAGTTTACATCAAGTGTACCTTACTAGCACTATGAAACAGACTTGAAAAGTAACATGAAATACTATGTTATGAGAGTTACGTGACCTCTTTATTCCAAAAAATATCTTTTGAAGTTTGGTTCCTTTAAGGTACTTAAGATTTTTATAATGTAACCTACCAAAAAAGATTTTTCATATGTCAAATTATTGTAGTGCAAAAGCCCATTAACGACTGGAGAATGATCCTCTAAATTACCTAAGTTGAGTACTTTACATATAAGTGCTCAATACATATTTGTTGAGTGAATTACTAACACATGATATGATGATAGTTTCAATTACATTAAGAGCAAATACATATGTATCAAAGGTAAAGGTAACTTCTTTAAATGGTATCTGTACTGGATAGAACCGACTGGACCACAATAAATAGATCCTAAAGATTAAGGTCAGATGAAATTGTCCAAAAGAAAAGAGATAAACTGGATCAAACACATGCTATCCTACCTTTCAAAATCACCACTGGTATACATTATGGTAAGAAAAGCCATTAACATTTGGATAACTTGAATACTAAGTTCTGATGACTAAGGAATATATATAGCAGTAAACAGTAGCATCTTTTACTAAGTATAACACTTTTATATACATATTAAGTATAAGTTTGCTTAGTCAATTAGATTTTACATATACAATACAGACACTAAACAAAACATTATCTCAGTATATGGCATAGTCAATAAGTAGAAAAATTATATATTTTTGTCTTACTGTATTAAAATAAATTGCTTCCAAGCATGAAAGAAAAGAAATATGTATTTATAATAAATGATATCAAGTGTTATGTTACTTAATCCCCTCAACAACTTAATGAGGTAGATACTATATTTTATTTTAAAAATCAAAAAATTAAGGTTAAAATTAATTATTTAAGTCACTTTTCCAATAATCTAGTAATATGACTTCAGAATCAGTGCATTTAACAACAACTTCAAGACATAGTCTCCAGAGTGGAAAGCATAATAGATGCCAAGGGAGTGTGAAAGAAAATATGAGAATTTCTATGTATTTATTTTCATATTGAAAATTAGAAATGAAACTTTAAATATTCAATATATAGATTGAAAGTGGCCTTAAGTAATACCAGATCAGATTTACATGTGGTACTCAAGGTACCCGGAGGGAAAAATGTAAAGTTCCCAATGTATAGGAATTGACAGAGATACCTTGCTTACCTGCTGGCTCTTTTTCAGTATACTGTGACATATATGACAGTTTTTGTGTGCCCAGTTCAGTGGAATTATGGATGTGATTTAATTTTTACTCACACAAACAATAAGCTGCAGAAGGTGCCTACAAAGAAACCAGATTAAACAAAATATTAATATAAGCACAAGACAAAAAAGACAAAACTAATACTCCTCCTAGTGAAACCTTTGTTAGTCCCGTAATAACAAAAAAATACAATCTGATCTAACAAGTCAATCAAAAAACATCATAACTGTAGGATGGTCATTTGAAAACAGATTTATAATGCCTCTTAAAAAATCCTGCTGTAAGCATATTTCATCCTAAGACTGACGATGAGAACAACATACATATAATTTATAAGTAAATAAGCAAATATATTTGAAGAGGTGCTGATTGGGGTACATGTCTAAACTATTTGGGAGTCTACTACAAGTACTACACTATGCTATCTTTGGTTCTCCATCAAGCACTATAGTTCTTTTAACCCTGGCACTGTAAAAAGAAGTTAACCCTAAGTATACAAACTTAGGTTTATGACAACTAATGTATAATGTATGACAAGTAATTTATGATGGCTTATGACAATAATTAATCTGGGTAAATAATGATACACTTATTCTTAATAGTCAATTGATCACGTTTTAATCTCAAATAAGAACTATCCTAAATTATAAAAAATAAAATTTAACTTGTAACAAATATAAAAAGAGCTGCTTCTATTTTGAAATTCATCCACTTATTTACTATTTCAAGTTGCCATCTGTGCTTTTTAAAAAGTTTGGTAAGGTCTTAAGTTTTTATTTAAATACCTTATTTACTTAAACTCTTGAGCTATTGCTAATTACCTATCACCAACTCAAACTTACTAGATGATAGTTCTACAAATGAATTTAACTGTATATGTTCCCTGTCTAGCCATGGATAGTTATTAACATACGTAAGAGGACACACACATTTTCCCCCTATAAATTATAAATCCAGCAACGGGTTGTCATCCTCTAATTCATCTGAATTGAGTCAGGTTGTTAATAATAGCTAAACGGTAAAAAATATATATATTAAAAAAAATTATACTAGCAAAGACACAAGCACTAATTAATATTGTTTTAGTAATCATAAAAATCTGAAATAACTTGAATCTCCAGATTCACAATACAGTACATGGCAATCTTAAAGGATAACCAGGAATTTAAGTTCACGAGTGTTTTACCCAGAGCCTTTTCTTTGGAATAAGGCTTTATTCTACCATGTTCCAGGACACTATCTGCAGTGCTAAGGATACGACAATGAAGAAAATGGACAAATATTCCTGCACTCCTAACATTACAGTATAGGATGTAGACACAGAACAAAATAAGTAATAAATAAATATATATTAGACAATACATACTACAGAGAAAAATAAAACAGAGAATAGTTGCTAAGGGTGTGCAATTTAAAATACAGCGGTTAGAGAAGGCCTCACTGAGAAGGGATCTTTTGAACAAACATCTGTGAGGAAGGGAGCCATGTGTAATTCTAGGAAAAGAATAGTCCAGACAGAATAAACAGAAGACCCTGGGGTGAGAACTTCAGTAAGATAACTGGGATGGAATGAGCAAGGGAGAAAGTAACAGTTGAGGGTAGAAAATTAATTAAGGAGAGAAGAAGGAGGTGGAACAGATCACATAGGCCTTTATAGGACAATGCAAAAAATGTAGGTTTTATTCTGAGTGAGATGGAAAGCCACTAAAGAGTTCTGAGCAGAGAAGAGCCATTATCTAACTTCTGTTTTAATTGGAACACTCTGGCTACTGTGTTGAACAGACTGAAGGGAAACAAGGTCAAAGGCAGGGAATCTGGTTACAAAGCTATCGAAATAATACTGGAAAGAGATCACAGTGGTTTGGACCAAGGTAAAAATAGAGGTGGTGAGAAATGGTCAGATTCTATGCTGTGAAAGTAGAGTCAACAAAATTTCTTTATATAGGTTATAAAAGAAGGTAAGGAGTCAAGGTTGACTAAGTTTTATAGCCTGGGCAACCAGAAAAACAGAGTTGCCATTAAATGATGCAGGAAAATTTGTGGAAGAAGCAGGTTTGGAGGAAATATCTTGAGTTAAATTTTGGATGTATTAATTCTCAGATATCTATAAGACATTCAAGTAGAAATGTTAAATAGGAGCCTGAAGTTGAAGAATTCTGAGCTGCCAGTACAATTAGGGAGTTATCAGTATATAGATTACATTCAAAAAGGCATGAACTTGGACAGGATGTCTAAGTGTACCTGCGAAGGAAAGAAGTTCAAGAACTGAGAAATGAGACAATCCAATATTAAGAGGCCAGGGAAAAGAAGTATCAAAAACTGACAGAGGACAGGGAGAGAAAAAAATAAATCCAGGTGTGGATGCCAAATGAATAAAGTGCTTCAGACAAAAGAAATGATCTGCTATGCCAAACATTGCTAAAAGTTAAAATATGATAGATCTATAACTGGCCACTGGAGTTAGCAACATGGAGGAAACTAGAGATCTTGACAAGGGCACCTTTAGTAGAATGGTGGGTGTCAAAGCTGGGCCAGAACGTTGCTAATCCATTTCCTGTTTGTCCCAAGAATACTTGCTGGCAGTGCCTGTGGCTGCAGCATTTACCCCAAGATAACTCGCAGATTACAGTCCTAACCTTACTCCCAAAGTTTGCCACAAAATATCTCACTTTTATTATTATTTTCGCAACGCTCTAGTATATCGAGTCTTTAGAAACAAATGACATCATTCTATTTATAGCATTATTTTTAGAAGTGGTATTTCCATTTACAAAATATAGTAATTCTCGATTGCTGAAAATGTCAAATCCTACAAAACGTAGCATTCCTACGCATGATGTTAACATAGTTCTGGAACAGTTGTTAACTGAAGATTCATTTGATGTATCTGATTTACATATACTTTTCTATTACATTAGGATCAGAGACACATTGTTTAGAAATAACTCTAAGAACAGTTTTCATATTTTAGTTTCACACTGAAAACCAGTCAGATTTGCTTCAGCCTCCAAGAGCGTATTTATGTAAAATTAAATTAACACTGGCAATGCACTGCACTCTTTTTTCCTAAACAGGAAATGGATTAAAAGAAAGTGAAAGGAAAGGAACTGGAGAATAGAGAAATCAGGAAAATTGCTGTTTAATGTGATTCTTTCTGCTGATCTAAGTTTAGTCTACTTGTTTTCAAAGTCTATTACCCAGATACTTACATGATATCTTTTAATTGTACTTCTGAGTTAGGTCCGAATTTGAATTGCACGTTCTCCTGCTTTTTATTTTCTTCTCTTTACCTAAGGTCTTCAAGTAATTTTTCAGAAATTTTATGCATGTCTGAAAATATTTTTATATTTTCTTCACACTTAGGGTATAGTTCAAGACAAAATCATTTTTCCCAAATTATGAAAGGCATCATTTTCTAGCATTCCATGTTGCTGTTAAAAAACTGTTTTGCCAACTTATTTCTCATGCTTTTTTAAGTAAATCAATTTTTCTCCCTGGAATATTTAGAATCTTCTCTAACAAATGGTATTCTATAATTTTATAAGGACTTTCTTAGGGGCAGGCCATTTTTAAATTTCTCCCACATAGCCCTGGTTGGGTTCCTTTAAAGACTTGTATCAGTTTGTCTCAAAGATGTCCTTTCTTCTTCCTATTATCTCTGTAGTTGGCCCAAATTAATCTTTTGTCTCTAAACTTTTCTTTCTTATTTTCGCTCCACAGAATGGTAAACTTCATCCACTTTTATCTGCAGCTTTCCAGTATTCTATTATCTTTTTAATTTCTTGCACTTTGTTCTGTGCTTCAGTTACTATTATTTTCAATAGTGGATCTGATCTTATGAAATAGACTAGAATGTCTCTATATACTAATTATTTCTATTTCATCTGAAGCCAGCTATAGTCAAAGTGTCTACAAGTTATTTCATTCCTATCTCTGAAGTATAAAAAAAGAAAAAAAAAAAAAGCAAACAAGGAGGGGAGAGAATGAATTATAAGGAAGAAAGACCACAGTTGTGTGTCAAGATTAAAATGATAATTCATCAGTCCCAGTTTTGTATCTAAATCGAATTGGGAACATTTAGTCTGAGTTTTTTCTAAAGAGATGTTTCCTTTGCTAAATTAGTCCCTTGCCCCCTATACAATTCACCTAATAACATATGACTGCTCTCTACCTGTGACAATTATTCATTTCAAATGCTCTTGAGTTTTTACATACTTCATACTAATTATAAAAAAATAAAACTATGAATTTGTTGCTAAGAATTAAAGGAGTGACTCACAAAAGTACGAATTCCAGATCCTCCAATTATTAACCTGGAAGTCATTATTTTATCATCTTAACAACAGCATATAACAGAAACTCTAGACAGGCAATAGAAATAATCAAAATACAAGGAAAAACGCAGAAATATAATAAAAAAAGAGGGCTAAGTGCTGGGTATACCTGAATTCAAACTTACAGAAGTTAAATGAATGCTAGTGATAGTATAATTAATAAAAATAAAAATCTAAATGGTAATGAATGCAAAAAACTTAGGCAAACAGAATGAGTGCTCATATACCGAAATGAACACAAAACACACTGAAGTTGGTACATACTAGACCTACATCTTGACTTGCCTTCGGCATCATCAAACTTCTCCTACTCCACTGGGTAGTCAACTAACAACAGAGACTGTATAATATTTTAAAACAACACATTTGTTATTATATTATTGCAATGTAGCCCACCCACTTCTATAATAACACCATACCTTTATCAAAATAATGTGATGGTTTTAAAATATTTCCACCCTTCAAAAAGCAGAGCCTAATTTGCTCCCCTTATGTGTGGAGTGTACTTAGTGACTTGTTTCTAATGAAGATAATGTGATTGAAGTGTGTGATGTACAAAATTAGGGCATAAAAGGCATGTGGCTTCCTCTTTGCTTTCTTGGCTCGTCTCTTAGAGAAGCCAGCTGCTACATCATGTGATCACTCAAGCAGTCCTATTAAAAGGTCCATGTGATGAGTAATTGGCAGTTCCTGACAAGAGCCAGCAATCCCTAGCATTCCTTGACTTTATACTACATCTTCTTT